GGTTTACTTGTATTTTTTATACAGGGTAATATCGTTTTTAGGTCCATATGGCGTACAGCCGTTTCAATACGGGCAAAAAAATGTTTTGTCTCTTTGTGTTTCTTCCTTGTGATGCGATTTTGCAGGATGAACTTTGAGAAGACGGGATGACAAAATACGGTCTGAATTGGTCTGTAATAAGGGAGGCACTGGTAAGGGATTGACAGGTATGCACCAATTCCAATTATTGTTCAATTAATGTTTAATAGGCAATTAGATGGACGCCTTAGGCGTATTGGGTTTGACAATAGGGATGATGAATTAGCTACATATAGTGCAGATTTTCCAATAAAGGATGTTATGGAAGAACAGGGACTATTATTATTACATATGCAGTGTGCACATATTACGGCAGTGTGCTCAACTGGCATATGTGACTACATGCTCAATGGCATCTCTTTCCAGAGAAAAAATAGCACCAAACTATACTGATTGGCATGAGTATCTACAATGCAGTCTGCTCTCCTATCACGATTTCCTGAAGAACATCGTATTGTGGAAAAAATCGCGTTCTAGTAAATAATTACTACTATAATGAGCCAAGAATGTCTGTCCCACGCGTGACGTCACTCCACATGCCGCTCCCCCGTCATGAATATTCATGAGCGGGTGGATTTTTACACTAACGCAGAAGATCGAGCAGGAAATACTTTTATTTGTTCGCAAATTCGCTTTAATTTTGACGTTTCTTTATTAAAAGTGAATCTAATAAATTATTCTACGCAGCAACAAAGTGGATTTGGTGTCTTTATTTATTTCTTCAGCACTTGAGACAAACAGTAAGTCTAATTTATGCTTCTACATCATGGTAAAATATACATTTCTTGGTGATTTTCCAGATATTGTATCCATTTCCAATTTATTTCAACCCCAGCGACTTAAAGCAGAAGAGAATAAAGTATCTGAGCAGTGAATTTGAACAAATTGAAGGTCAGTAATATACAGCCCTACAGTTACATGAAGTGAGGTGTTTTATAACGTAGTTTTGTGCGATAATCACTGCCATTAATATGTTACAGTGAACTGGAGTGAAGTGTTTTATGACTTTGTTTTGTGCCAGATTCACTGCTATTAATACAGTGCTACAGTGAAATGCAGTGAAGTGTTTGATGACATACTTTCGTGCAAGATTCACTGCCATTTAATTTACACAAGATACAATTATACTTTGCTCATTTTTTTCGTAAATATTACAGCTTCCGTCCTAGGACGGGCAAAGAAGCTAGCTATTAATACTAAAGAAATAACATTGTCAGAAACGCATCCCTAAGTAGTATACAATGGGGTAACGATGACCCCTTGTAGCGCTGATCTATTGGCGCTCAATTCTCCAGGAACAACGCATCTGGAGGAGCGCTAAGCGATCTTTGGGTGTAAAGGGCAAGGGCTCTCACACCGACTGTGGAAGCCACTGGTCAGTCTGCCTCCTCTCTCAGTGACAGGGAAGGTTTTGCCCACGCACTGTTCAAGCAGGCTGAACCCACTGCCGTGCAAACGTCACCAATCCAGAATTCCAGGTTCACCACTCCGGTCAAATGAAGCGGTCACTCTGATTAGTATAGGGTAAATGCACAGTCCATGATAGCACGTGAGATGCGTACGCAGGCCAAACAAAGACTGGGGCACGTGGGTAGCATCTAGAAGCACCCAGCAGCATTCCAACTTGAGTAATGCTACGCCGAAGCAGCCGCACAACCGCTTATTCCAACTCATGTGAAGTAGTTCCGTTCACTCGATCTTGTTATATCCAATGCACATCCGCGTTATAAACAAAAAAAAATGTGTTCCATAATACATTCGTCGCGTTATATCCAGTTCGTGTTATGAAAACTACGTGTTGTAGGAGAACAGACTGTACATTCGACAGTTAAGGTCAGAATGTGCCAAGATTAGGCCTTGGGTTCAAATGGCATTTAAGTTCATGAAATTGTCCCTGGCATGCACGACACCAGATCAGACGCGAGTGCATTTTGACCATCTCATTGGTTCCGATGTGTGGACATCACATTTGTTGCTTGGCAACATGGGAGGTATAACCTGAAATAACCTTTATTTTAAAAAAACACGGAAGTCTATTAGGGTAAACACCTTCCCCTTCCTGTATGATCTGCTTGGACATAATACACATGGAAAAAAGTAAATGGAGCTTTATTTTTGTTAAACATACTGATGCCTATGTAAAGTATAAATCAGACCACATTCTGATACAAATATTCTCCCTCATCCAGTCTCATTCACCTGGCCAATACTGTGATAAATTGCTGAGCACTGAAGAGGTTAATCACATCATGTCCAGTGTAATGGGTATAGAACATATGATATGTAAAGAACCTTAATGCACAGCAAAAATAAAATAGCCCAAATTACAGAGACTGTAACCGTTAAAATATTGAAATGAGCCTTTATGAGCAGCATGGCCAATCGTATTGATAAGTTTCTTTGCGAACAAGAAATTATAAATTATCACCGTAAATAAAATACAACATCTTAACACCGATTATATGTAAACAACCTGATTTGGCATCTGAGGGGTGTATATTAGATGAGGTGGTTGTTTTCATCTCAGTCAGTCAACCCATGGCACCTGGCTCTGCCCCGTGACAGACCCAGGTGCCATGGGTCCCGTGACCTGCCAGCGAGCCTCTGATTAGCACGGTTGACTATGCACGGTGCGAAAGAAGTCACCACCGCTTAGTAGCAACTGGCCGTTGTTGTTGCTATATCATAGAAGGTGCAATTTGGCTACTCATACATTGTTCAAACAGGATACAGGATGAGCGCTCACATCACGGTGTACCGTAGCGACTTCAGACACGGACTGTAGAGGGCTTCTCATTTATTCCTCGTCGGCATACAGTTACGACTTTAATGACACCGTCACTAATTCTTATCCGACTGACTATATAACTGGCTGACTATACAGCGACAGTGGCGATGTCTGACTATACAGCTGGTCAACTATATAGCAACGACGACGATGTTGAACTATATCGTGAGACAGCCACAGAGCGACGACGATGATGACCCCGAACTCCCCGCGCGCCCAGAACCCCGTTCCACTCTCCCTTATATCCCCCCTAGCGCGGCCATGCCCAGTCCCTGGCCACGTCCCTCTTCGCGAAGTCTCTCGCGAGTCCTGGGAGCTTCCTGATAGACCCCCTCTTTGACCCTTGGCCTAGTTCTTCCACCTCTTGTGCTCACTCCCATATAATTAGACTGTGCGCTGTTTTGCCACTCGCGATTAGTCCTCACGGCTACCAGTCGGCGCACAGCATCAGAGATGCATTAAGTACTCAGACCAGCGTATCTGTCCACGCCAGGACATGTAAGTATTATGCAAAACGAAATTATATTGCAGAGGGGAATTTGGGAAGCCAATAACACAAAGACAAAACCCCACGACGAAAGGTCGTGGTTTTTTTTTATTTTCTATCTATGTGACTTTACCGAAAGAACGAAACGTCGTGGGTTTTTTGCTTTATTTTTTTATTTTTATTTTTTATTTTCTATCTATGTGACTTTACCGAAAGAACCAAAGAATAAGAAAAAACGATATTTATTTCAACTGATAGCTATACATGAAGTGCGGTTTGGAAGTATATTTAAAAGTATGGTTTATTTCTCTCATCAATGCTATAACACTCTCAGCACTTTTTGAAAATAACATTTCCATTTTGCTACAGGCTAGCATATTCACGAGCTATAACGGATGAAGCATATAGTCTTAACCATTGGCACACATGCATCATAATAACATGATAATCAATTCATGTTCATGGTTAATACCGACTTTAATTCTGATTGGTTTTTTTTTCTTGTGAGGTCGTGTCATCTCTTTAAGGAAGCCATTACAGGTGACTCCGTGATTCCGTCTTTCCTGGATTTGTAATCTATTTTCTAGATGTTGTCATGAGGATGTTTGAGGTAGCCTCAAATTAAATATCATACCCAATTGAGCTTGTCATCCTTGTTTCGTTTTAATTGCGTATTAACCTGCAAGAGTGCAGTTTGTTTCTAATGGGAGTTTTTTTTTTACATTTAAATAGTTTTCGGTCTAAATTAGGGGTCGGAAACTTGCGGCTCCGAAGCTGCATGCAGCTTTTAAATGACTGCTTCGTGATGTAATTCACTATGCATTGCAGCTCTTGAAATATTTGGTTTACATACCGAATTCATACCTGTCAACCCATACGGTGTACCCGTGTTCTGGCACAGGGAAATTGAGTTATCAGGTCCATACAGCGTACAGCCGTTTCAATACGGGCAAAAAACAATTGTCTGTGTTTCTCCCTTGTGATGGGACTTTGTAGGATGAACGTTCAGATTAATAAGGGACCGGAGGTGACCAATAAGGTCTGAATTGGTCTGTAATAAGGGGGCGTCCATAAATGACGTCACGCGATTTTGGATGATTTTTGACCCCCCCCCTCCCCTCGTCACACGGCGTCACAAAAAGTCAGACCCTCCCTCAAATATGACGTCACATATTGCCTGCCTATGTAGTGACTTAACAATGCTGTGAACCATTTGGATAACTGATATGTACAAAAATGTAAATTGTGAGCGTTATGAATGAAGCGCGACACACAAATGTAAGAATAGGTGAGGAAATCACCCAGGCATCAGATGCGAGCGCTGAAAAAGATCAAAGTACTTATGATGTGCACATTTTTGAACATTCCAAGGCCATGCAACTATTTAAACATTTTTTACTAAACTATTACGAAATATATTTTTTTATTTTATTTTAATAGGTAAGGCCCACTGAGTCTTAGCACTCTTTTTCAGAAGCAACCTGGCTATCACAAATGATGACTCAACGAAAGTGGCTTATCATCGTGTGGAAATGTATATCAGCCAAATTACTCTAAACGTGTGATGTTGATTCTAAATGTGGAAGGAAAAACCGGAGGACCCTAGAGAAAAATCCATGTAACCACAGAGAAAGAGAAATGCAGACTCCAAATACACAGGCGTCAGGGTCGGGATCGAAACCCTACGACCTCCCGTATACTAGGCGACGGAGTTAACATCTCCGAACTACTGTTGCACCGCAGGCTTCAAACTGAGATGGTAGCCTGCACTGCGCTAAATCTCATAGGTCTGTAGAAGTGCTCACACGTGTTTGGCGATGAACACAGACACCACAAGTTCTCAACGCTGTGTTATAACAAAAACATGCCAAATCCTACAACATATTAATTCAAGCAACGTAAGTGGCTTCGTGTTCTGTGAATAAACGTGGTCCAAGGCTGATGAACTGACTTGTGTGAACATCAGAAGCTATTTACGCATGCACATAATTCACAAAAATAAAAAAAGTTCAAAAGTATGGTCCTATATGCTCTATTGTGGACTGATGTTTGCTCACCGTGCAAGTCTGGGCTTCATGTAGCCTTATGGTCAAAGAGTTTGATATGTGAAGGGTGAGAATAAGCATTCCTCTGAAACGTGTGCGATTGATTCATACCACGTAATTGTAAAAACGGAAGTAAACATGATCCCCTGCTAACTCTCATCTCTGTCGTTCCGGCTGTCTGTGTTCACACAAAGGGCGTTTGGTAACACACTCCAACGTGACAAAGAAATACGACCACAACATATATCTCCTGCTAAATTTCGTTCACTAGAATCACGAGCATATTCACCTCATGGGTTAGAGAAAATAACAATGGTGTTGTGATTCTCACTGTGTTACATGAGCATCAAACCATCGACTATTGTTTGATTCGAAGATGCGAAACGGTGTCCACACTCTCCGGTCACTCCTTCTTGCTCTTCTTGGCTGCCACTTTGGCCGCCCTCCTGCGGTGGCAGCACAGGCGGCAGAGGAGGACGGGCAGCGCGAGGGCGAGCCCTGCAGCAGCACTCAGGAAGGCGACCACGTCCAGGCAGTGCAGCTGATACCAGGTGAGTCGATGCGCCGCTGGGCGTAGGTGGCGCGCGTTGCCGTGACGCATCACGAACTCCAGCGCGTGCACCGCGCGGTCTATCGGTCGCTCGGGCTGGTCGTGGTGGAGGCGCGAGAGCCGCTCAATGCTCTCTTGGTAGCTGTGGAAGTCACGCGTTGCAGAGCAAAGGAATGGCCATCCATTGCGGTTATCAATGTGACATGGTTGGCAATGTACGGTGCGAAAGAAGTTCAACATGCATGAATGCAGTGCTACCTGTGTATTCCCAGACGCCGAAGCGTCAGAGGTGAGTGTCACGGGGGGATGCGAGAGTGAGCCCAGAACAGAATCTCTATCTAGATGCGTTCACAACACGTGCTAGTTTCCATTCTCACCCATATCAGGCATAACTGGTATGAACAAGGGAATCTAACCCCGGCCCATGTTGCCTGCGTAGCAGACATAGCAGCGCCAAAGTTATACCGTAAAGGTTTTTTTTTTGTTGAACTGGCAAAATAAATCAAATGGGTTACCTAACACTTGGATCCCCAAGCCAGTGGCGAGATATTAACTTCCTCGCCTGGTATGCAGGAGGTCGCGGATTCAATCCCGACCCTGACGCCTGTTGTATATTTGGAGTTGACGTGTCTCTCTCCGTGGTCACGTGGATTTTTTCTCTCTGGGTCCTCTGGTTTTTCCCTCCACATTTAGAATCAACGTGCCTTCAGATTACGTGTCTGCTATACATTTCCACCTGATAAGCCACTTTGTTGAGCGATCATTTGTGGCCAGGTCACTTCTGAAATAATTATCTAATAGTTGAGTGGGCTTTACATGGTGAAATAAAATAGTTTAGTTTCATGTATATGCTTTTTTGTGATTTGCTTCCCCCCCCCTTCCCTATATTTTGCACTCCTGTTGTGTTTTTGGAACTGTTTGTTGTCCTTACGTTCGTACCCACCCTGACTGGCTATCTGTGAAAAAGAGCTTCATAGCTCATCGGATTCCTCCAGCATACATAAATATTCTGATTCTATAAACAGATGCCTCATCGTCACAGTTCTGCTGGCCCGAAGCGCACTCTCCCTTGGAAAAGCGTCTATCTAAGGCCTGTTGCATGTTTTGCTTCTTGCACGCTTGGCATGAGCGCTACCAATGTTGTTTAAAACGAAATACCATGCTATACTTCCCCGAGCAAACTCACGCAGGAAATCGTCACATAATGTACGTGTACACGTGATCTTTCACGCGTTCCTGAAAAGTGCCTCGTTCAGCGAAAAACGGGCAAGAAACGACACGTTTGGCGAGATATTATGTACTTGTTCCGCGTTACAATGGGCATCTTGCACGTTATAACTAGCACGTCCCACGTTATTACGGCGTGTTTGCGTCATAACGGGGTGCATTCCGTGTTGTAATGAGGCACGTTCCACGTTGTGTGAAAAGTGTTCCCGAATGGAAGAACCGCGCTCTAGCAAAGATGTGTTGTCGTGTGAATACCGTGCACGTTAAGTGAGGACTTGCCAAACTTGTTCGTGTAAGCAAGTGCACGATTGAGAAAAAGACGTCCATCGTAAATGATTATGATTTAAATGTGAACTATCTGTTAAGGGTAGATATGGGTTAAAGCTACCACTGTGGATGTACGTTTTGTTTATCAAGGTGGCCGAGCTTAGGCCACGACTGCCATGGTGAGTGGGCATTGCTGAGGTAAGCTGCATTAAGTACACTGGAAACAATACACATTAGTGTAACTGATGAACCATGCTAAATTGTATTTCAAACAACTGCAGTTGTGATGTAACAGCTTAATATATTGTATCTAGAGTAATTTTCTAGTGGTATATCTTTAAATGAATCCATACATATTCACGTGTAACATGTAGATATTCCCTTATGTTAATATAATAACTGTTTCGGGAAACCAGATTGCTGAACTTTTTACCAGAGCATAAGTGCAGCAATCTGGTTGATGCACTTTCTAATGCTCCATTAAAACGCCTCCGAAGTAAAAGCATTAAGGTGCCTAATTTACATGTTATTTTCAGCATCGCAAAAACTGGATGAAGGCTTCTCCAGACCATCACAAATGGCATTATTATAATTATTGGAAAACCAGCACGGTTTAAAGTACGGTGGGTGGATTCATTCCATAGATCGGCAATGGCGTTGTACGCCTTGTCAATGTTGCTGAGCTAACCCAACTCCAATTAGCACGGTGAGTTACGTATGGTGCGAAAGAAGTTCAACCTACATAAAACATATTTTATACATATAGGTAGGGCCCACTGAGCTATATAGATTATTTTATCAGAAGCGACCTGGCCACAAGTGATAGCTGAACGAAGTGCCTTATCAATTGGAAATGTATATCAGCCAAATACTCTGAACGCATATTGATTATAAATTTTGATGGAGAAACTGGAGGACCCAGAGAAAAATGCACGCGACTACGGGAAGAGAGAACATGCAAACTACAAATATACAACAGGCATCAGGGTCATCATCGAACCCACGACGTCCTGTATGCCAAGCGAGGTAGTTAACATCTCGGCTTGACGTCTTTGTACACGCACCTGCTATTATGGATGAGCAAGACGAGTGCATCTCGGATCTCTGGGGCAGTGACCGTGTTGATGTCCAGCACGATGGCACTCCCATGCTTTTGAAGTCTCAAGAGGTTGTCCTTCTGGTCACCAAAAAGCGGGAAGCCGAGCATGGGGACGCCGTGGTAGATGGCTTCGTAGACCCCGTTAGTCCCGCCATGCGTGATGAAGGCACGGGTTTTTGGGTGGCCTTTCACAGCAAGGGATCCTCACTGTTAGCGTTAGTGCACTGATGATAAGTCATTGATTTGCTTTGATGTTAGATTTTTGCAGCAACCCCCTTGGTAGAGTCGGTCACAATTTAACAGATTCGCGTTAGAAGAGATAGTGCTTGCGTCAATAATACCGATTAACAGCCCCCTACTAAAGAGGGGAGAGACAGTGCAAATGTCTTTAATGTTAGTTTAACACGTGGGCTTTCGCGACCAATGTTATCAACGATGAAGGGTTTTTTTTCAGTTAGATCGCATCAACATAAATGTGTCGTTAAACCTGCCACAAACTCAACACAGCCAATCAGTAAAGTTTGTCACGTATATGAAATGTGCCAATTAGTTACTGGTTCAGCACATCGGTTTGTTGGAGAGTAAACCCACAACATATATGTAACGTTGAACTCAAATTGTAAACGTTATGGGTTTACTCTCCAACACGCGGGTGTGCTGAACTAGTAACTAAATGGCACGTTTTGTTTACGGGAAAAGCCTTACTAATTAGCTGTATCGGGTGGTGGTGGGTTTAACAACACGTTTAGTTTAGCGCGATCTCACTAAAAAGAACGTTGTTATGGAGAATTAACACAGTACACTGTGGCTTTATATCGCGTATAACTATGACCACATCTCAACATTATGTACAGAAACAGTGAGCATACTTATTTTACATTGAGAGGCAGTCAATCAGTCACATGTAGGGAAATCCTGAGCCTGGCATTGAAAAGGGACAGGAGATTGACGCCAGAGGCCATCGGAGATCCAGGCTCTAGCAGAGGAGGTTAAGCGTAGATTGACCAGGAGCTTTGACTGCTGGAGCGAAGAGTGAGCAGGAGAGTAGATGGAGATGAAAGGGAAGAGGCGGTAGAGTGCTCGCAGGGGGAAATATGTGATGTACGTGTGCATGTTGAACTTCTTTTGCACCGTACATAGCCAACCATGCTAATCGGAGGTGTGGGGGAAGAACAACAAACAAAACAAATTATAAATATAGGAATAGGTTTTACCCTTTCTGGCAATAAAACAAGTGTTAATATGTTCAGACGACAAATAGACACCTTTTGCAAGGCAATAAAACGAACGAAAAATATATGATGCTCCAGAGTAAGGGAGGATTTCAGACATTGGAGGGATTGGAGAATTGTGACAGAGCTAATGTCCATTGTCACTGCTATACTTAAGCTTCAAAATCAAGTATAATTGTACAGTATATGCATAGAGCGCCTTCACGCAAGTTGCCTGGCATAGATAGCTGACAAAACGATGACACAATGGAATGATGTAGCAGACAGGGGTTGTACAAGGATTGAGTGATAGTGATAGAGGGTACTTGGGGATTACGAAGGGGAAGGAGAGGGAAAACAACGTCCAGGTTTGGACTCAATACGTAGGTTTTTAGGACGGTTGAATCATATTTTAATATCATGACACCAACGAAAAACATCCCCCATATATTCTTTAACAGACTGTTGGGGCAAGTTCTGCCAACGAGCACCCAAGAAGGCTGAAACGGCACATGATGGGGTGGGTGGCTAGCAACACGCACGGCTGCCGTTGTCTCCCCAGTGGTCGATGTTTACACACCGCACTAGGTACTCATTTGAGGCCGAATCGACCTAGGGGAGGAGGCCCAGGACCGGTTCAAACAATCGTCACCGATGTTGGGAATCGAACTCGGGCCGCCGGCTTCGCAGCACAGTGCGCAAGCGACTGCGCCACCGCTCCCCGCTTAATCATGACACCACCACAAGCAGCACGTACCCAGCAAGTCGTTCTGTGGTAGCCAGGGCACCAGTTTGGTGTTGGAGCCCTGGGAAGACGGCTTCTCTCCCGTGTATCTCCACACGACCTAACACGACGATTGTGGTACAACCAGCAAACAATGCACGTACAGTCGACCCTTCTGCATCGTGACATTTCCCCATTGCGGTTTCGATATATAGCGGGGTCGGCATAAGAAATTAAATGAGAATTTTTTGGGAGTTTTGTGAAAGACGCAGACGACACGCGAAGGCCAGCAGACAACACACACAAAGTTTAGTAACTCATAAATGCATAAAATATATGTAGAGTACTGTATGATATTAATGTATTTTATCTTTGTTATTTTCTTTGAACCTATCTACGTTACTTTACTGAAAGATCCAAAGAATATGAATTCCTGCAGTCACGAAAGAAGTCAAGATTTAACCGCTCCTATTTCTCATTTAATGTTTTTTTAAGAATTTTTTTAAAAGTCATAATTTTTCGGTTTGTCCATCTGTCCATCTGTCCAAGCAATGTTTCTCAGATCAGATAAAATAGAGACACCACATTTTAAGAATAGGTTTGTACACGACAGCGAGACGACAGTTCAGTCCGATTTACGGTATTTATTTTTGCATTAAATAAAATATTTTACGTGAATGAATTCTCGGAAACGTTGAGAAATGAATCAAATTTCATATTCCCTATGTATGCGCATGAGAATTGAAATTATATCTTCGTTATTTTATTCGTATTTTTTAAGTTGTATTTTATTCTTCGAAATTAGCGCTCCACTTAGCTTGGCGCCCAAGGCGATCGGCTAGTTCGCCTATATGGACGCACCGCCCCAGTTGCGTACTGGAGATGTGTAACGTTGATTGAATGGTTATTATGCTCTATTATGTAATTGTGTAATGTACGATATTATATTAGTGTTTAGTGAATAAAAAACAGGCAACTTCGTTAGGCTATAACGAATACTCCGCAAGCGCTGCGATCCCGCCCTGAACGCATACACACGCCGCACACATGTAGGGTCCCGGTGGGGAATCGCCTGGCACCATGGGTTTTCATCTGAACGGCCCCTAGCAGGGATGTCCCACGATTTCCCGGTGCCAAGAGTTTGGCCGATCCCCCCAGGCCAAATTACATTGCGGCCCCCCTCAAAGGAGGAAGGAAATCCCTGTGGACACCGCGGGTGTGTAATTAGCCGGGCGGCCGCTCAGGGTTTACCGGCTGAGTCAGGGATGAGGCATGCGCGCGCGGAGACAATGGACCGGGGGGGATAGTGTGACATAATGCCCTAGGTAACGGCTGCGAAACGTTCGAAAATTTTAAGTTATGCGCACGATTGGCTGCGCAGGATGACGTCACATAACCCTGGATTTTCGGAATCCCAGGGCATAATAGGAGGGAGTGAAAAACGGTTAGGGACTTCTCCTCCAGCCATTCAGCCATCCGGACCGACTCCCAGCCACTCGCAGCATCCGTGAGACGCTAGCAGGTGCCGCTACGAGTCAACCCTAGCCAGAGCCCTCTCTGATTGTCGACCCTCTGACTCCCACAGCATCCATGTGACACCGTGAGTGCATCTGTGAGGTGAGTAATACATTGGGGGTACACCTAAGGGATTGGGTAGTAATAGGTTAGGCACTGCTCGTAGAATATTTGCTCCGGGCCACACAGGGTTTTTCTTTAGACGTGCCGTTAATAAACTTTAGTACAGAGTAACGGTGCAATGTGATTTGTGTGTTTGTGGGTGGAACCTCGGCGTGGTGTTGGTAATTTGAGTTGTGTGTGTGTGAGGCGTGCATGGAGTAAAACATAAATGGCCGCCGATGCTCGCATGTCCGTGCAGCTGTGCCGTGCGAGTGACTTTACCGAAAGAACCTAGAATAACAATAGGCATTAACCACCCTGAGGCGCGTGCGCAAACTCGACCAGCCCTTTGGCATTAGACTTTGTGTGCAAGCGGATTAGGGTTTAACCACCCGAAGGCGCGCGCATATTCACGCAACGGCCTTCGTATTAGTGGTGATATATGTGGGCGGGTGTGGAGTAACCCCGTGTGGCGGTGAGCCAGCGCTACAGCCATGCCCCTCAGAGAGAGCGCCAACACGAGGGGGGCGATCACCGGGTCAGCGGGGGCCCAGCGGGAGCTGATCGACGTGGTGGAGGAGGAAGTGGAGGGGGCGGACGTCGCGCCCCACCTGCCCATCGAGGGCAGTGGGGTGGAAGTCGGCCTTCACAGGTTCCCCTAACTCCGTATTTCCCATAGGCCCCTCTACTTTACCAACCGCGGATTTACCTACCGCGGCCTTTTCCAAGAACCTAACACCCGCGGTTAGGCGAGGAATTTCTGTACCTTCTGTGGGAGCTGAGCCAGTGCAGAGGCGATCACTTCAGCTCTCTCCATAGGCATGTATTTGATCATGGAGCCCAGCGAAAACACAATGAGGCCGTGCTCACCCGAGCTCTGGGCAAATTCTTCATAGTCCTGGTAACGCACATGTAGAGAAAACGTACAGTGACAATTGTTGAAGAGGGAAACCCGAACACGTTCTTCACTGGACACGGATTGTAGTAGCAGCTTCCGAGTACAATCTGTTCTACTATAAGTGGTAGTAGTTGCATTCCAAAAGAAAGCCGCGTTATGGAAAAAATCGCGTTATATAAATAACATGGGGTAAAGCACAGTCCGCGATACCACGTGAGATGCATATGCAGGCTGAACAAAGACTGAGGCGGTTTGGTAACATCTAGAAGCATCCAGCAGTGTCCTGTGTTTTGTGATTATGCTATACCGAGTCAGCTGTATGACCGCTTATTCCAACTCGTGCGACGTATAGGAATAGGTTTTACCCTTTTTACTGGCACAAAAACTGACACCTTTATTCAAGGCATCATGTTTGCAATAACCACAACACAAGCAGACAAAATGCAAACAAAAAAGACAACTCTGATAATAATATGCACTGTCCTTGAATTTGATTGGTCCACACCTGAGACAGCTTTTCTTAGAGCCTAGTCTCCATTGGTGTTGGACCAGAAGACGCCAAAAGGCGTACAACTCAAAAACAGCGCACTATCAGAGTATTGAGGGCTCGGGGTGAGCATTTACATTATGAGACCTCCTTTGCCAGAAACAAGATATAGGAATAGGTTTTACCCTTTTTACTGGCACAAAAACTGGCACCTTTATTCAAGGCATCATGTTTGCAATAACCACAACACAAGCAGTCAAAATGCAAACAAAAAAGACAACTCTGATAATAATATGCACTGTCCTTGAATTTGATTGGTCCACACCCGAGACAGCTTTTCTTAGAGCCTAGTCTCCATTGGTGTTGGACCAGAAGACGCCAAAAGGCGTACAACTTAAAAACAGCGCACTATCAGAGTATTGAGGGCTCGGGGTGAGCATTTACATTATGAGACCTCCTTTGCCAGAAACAAGATATAGGAATAGGTTTTACCCTTTTTACTGGCACAAAACATGATGCCTTGAATAAAGGTGTAAAAAGGGTAAAACCTATTCCTATATCTTCTTTCTGGCAAAGGAGGTCTCATAATGTAAATCGTGCGACGTAGTTCTGTTCACTCAATTGCATTGTTTCCAGTTCGCATCTGTGTTATATAAAAAAAAGTGTCCCTTCATACATGCATTAGGTTGTATCCAGTTCGTGTTATAAAAACACGTATCATAGGAGAACAGACTGTAATAGTGTATAATCGAGTGATTTTTTTACCTCAGGTAATGGTTTTGCGGGCTTGCAGTGGAGCCCCCCGACAAAGATAAAGTTGGGAGGGAACGGACGTGGAAATTCGAGGTCCCAGTTGGTCCGGATGAGCCATAACTCGGCACCACTCATCACCTGGCATAGAGTAGTCCCTTCTCCTGTGAGATAACACGTGGAGCTGTCAAAACCATTCACCAGGGATCAAAGCACATCACATTAACTGCTACACTACCACTCCCCATAACGCACTTACGCACACACATAGTGATGCGCATGGACATATGTGAACACGTGTAGTGCCTAACTCGGAAACGATAAGACTTGGAGGCACTTCTTTGCTTAGCGAGCACCATCGGAATTAACACACTTAATATTTAATCCGTCTATTATCGGCAACACTACATAGTTAGAACAGTTTAAAACGTAGGCTTTCACAACCAATATCATCCATGATAGTTTTTTTTGGGTTAGAACGCGTAAATATAAAAATGTGTCGTTAAAACCCACCACCACCTGACACAGCCAACTAGTAAGGGTTGTCACGTAAACAGAACATGCCAATTCGTCACTATTACAGCACACCGGTGTGTTGGAGAGCCGATCAACTGTTGTGATGCCCCGTAAGGACTATGATAATAAAATCAAAGATTTACTCGATGAAGGTACCTACCTTAAAATGAAACGAGACCCAACCAGCACATTGGAACGTAAAACAACGGCAATCATTGCCAAGTCATCAATTCCCAAGGATGAGCAATACCTGATCAAACCAAGGGCATCAAAACCACCAAAACTTTATGGGCTACCAAAAATTCACATACCTGATGCCCCATTAAGACCCAATAGTTAGTATAATAGGCTCTGCCACGTACAAATTAGCACAATACGTAACGAAACAAATACAGCCCTGCATCGTTTGGACCTCTTCGTTCATCAAAAACTCTGAACATCTCTTTAATATAATGAAAGATATTAAGCTTAACCCTAATGATATTCTCGTAAGTTTTGATGTGACTTCTCTGTTCATGAGGGTTCCAGACAACGAGTCAATTAAATTACTTGACACTCTGGTGACGAACAACAGTTTAGCCAAGACTAGCTGGACACTGTCTAAAGAACACCTACTTCTTGTGGCAAGGTGACTTCTATAAACAAAAGGAAGGGGCAGCAATGGGCTCTACTTTGTCTCCTGTAATAGCGAATTTGTACATGGAAGATTTGTAAATAAAAGCAATAGCTTCAAGCACACTAAAACCCTCTGCTTGTTTTAGATATGTGGATGACACATTGGTGGTCTGGCCATACGGCAAAGACACACTGAACACATTTCTAAATTATCTTAACTCGCACCCATCCATCAGTTCATTATGGAAGCGGAAGCTAACAGAACTCTACTATTTCTGGATATTTGGGTCGGACGAGGTCGAAATGGTAAAATAACACAGTGTTTACAAAAAGAAAACGCATACTGACGCCTATCTGTAATACGGTGTTTTTTTCTGTAAAATTTGCTGGTGTATCCAGGATGTTTCTGTTGCGCGTCGTTGCTTTAAGATGTTTCTCTGTTCATATTTTGTTTGTTGCGGTTGCACCCGACTGAAGAGCCGCATGGCTTACAGGGCTATACCTAATAAATGAAACTTGAAACTTTAAATCTGAATGCAGATTCACACCACCCCTCACAGAAATCTGCTCTTATCAAGACGCTCATTCATCGTGCTAAGAAAGTGTCAGATGGTGACATTCTGAGAAGTTAAATTCAACATGTTAAAGAAGCGCTGCAAATGACCAGTTACAGTGATGCACAAATCAATAGGGCATTGAATGCCAAAGCCAAATCAAATAACACGAGCATTGAAACTGCCCAAGTAATTAAAACGATCAAAATACGTACATTGTGGGAGTAACTGATAAACTAGCCAGATGTTTGGAAAAACAAAATATCCGAGTCAGATTTGACACGGTATATACAAATACAGAAATTATGATCTAATACAAAATGTATTACGGAAGCTATCAACAGAAGGTGTGTACAGGATTAACTGTACATGTGGGAAATGTTATGTTGGGAAAACTGGACGAATGATCAGCACAATACTAAAAGAACAGATTAATATTAAATTCTCCCAAATACAACTGTCAGCAGTAGAGGAACATGCGTGCCAACAAGGACACGCAATTGAATTTGATAATGTTGAAGTTACGTGCAAAACTAGCTACTACTGGCCAAGACTAATTAGAAAATCTATCGAAATGGAAATAAAATAAAATAAACACTCTTTGGTTCTTTCGGTAAAGTCACGTAGGTAGAAAAAATAATAGATCACGACGTTTCGATTGCCACACAAGCAATCGTCCTACGTGACTTTACCGAAAGAACCAAAGAGTGTTTATTTTATTTTCTGCATGTCACGAAAGCTTAAAATAAAATTTATTTTAACCATTCGGATAGCTGCCGCCTTCGTGCTGCGTGGAAGAGAATCATCAAATAATACACAACTTAAATACATGCCTATGAAGGGCATCATACTTGAAAAGGGATTACCATTGGCACGGCTATTTTAATACACACAATAGACAGGAAGGACAAGATCAAATGGCTCGCATAATGCACATGCATAATGTGACTCATAACCCCCCCCCCCCTTCTGCAAGCGCGCAGAAGTGTGGTCACCACATCTACTCCTCTATATAAGGAACGAAACAATAAGACTTCTCCACAAACCTGGCTGTCGCCTGATGAAGCTAGTTGTAATTACTGGCAAAACGCCATACTCAGAATATAAATGTTGTGGCTTGGCTCTCCAACACAACCGGTGTGCTGTAATTGGCATGTTCTGTTCACGTGACAACCCTTACTAGTTGGCTGTGTCGGGTGGTGGCGGGTTTTAAAAACACATTTATATATTTACGCGATTTAACCCAAAAAACCTGTTTATGTTAGCTATAACAGTTGGTAGGCTGTCTTACTAGCGGCGCCCCGAGATGGTAGAGATGGAGACGACGATGAGAAGAATGGTGAAGACGACAAGAAGAATGATGAAGATTACAAGAAGAATGGCGACGATAGACTTTAGCAACAGGGGCCCCTCTTATACTGTCAGCGTGGCCTCACTCCACCCCGGCCACCCCCCTTTCTGGAACCTACTAGCGGGTTCCTGGTGGGCTCCTTCTGTGACCATTCCCCTAGATCCCCCTCTCGTGTATATCCTGGCCTGTTGATGTCAGGACTGCCATAAGCCACAGATTCTCTTTTCCGCCAGCAGCCAGCGCTATGCCACTACACATGTGTAGTGACATAGCGCCAACTGTTGTACAGTAGCTGCAACTGCAGGTGGCACTGAGCGCTGGCAGGGCGGAGAAACTAGGGCAAGGGTGACGGTTAACTTCGTGGGGAAGTCCCTGGTTCGAGAAGGGAGGCATGGCTAGGGCGAAGCCAAACCACACTGAGGGGGATATATGCAGCGGAGAGCGAAAGCTCCAGGCTGCCAGTTCTGGCATTGGACTCGTTTTATCGTCGCTGTCATTGTCGCCGCCCTCGTCACTGCTGCCTTTGCCCGATCATTACGCGGCCGGACAGTAGTTGGCTTTCCCTGCTCGATGCCATCGGTGCAATGCAGACAGGGTTGTGTCTGGGATGGGGCGTGCGGCAGTGTGGTCGTGAGAGAGAGGGGGCCCGAGTGGTGGCGTGAACTCAACATTAAAAGGGGAGAACATTGCCTACTGCGACTACCTCATCTCCGACTGAGTGTGTGTGCGATGCACGCCATCTGCACGAACACACAAGCCTCGAGCGAGAAGGAAGAAGAGACACACAACACTATATATGCATGCACACATAAATGAACGACTCTGGAACCAACAATGAACAAAGACAAAAATCCCACGTAGCCTTAACAGACTTTTGGGGCAAGTGGTGTTAGCAAGTAGCACCTATGAAGGGTGGTACGGCACACGAGGGGGCAGGTGGCCAGCACCACGCCGGACTGCTTTTGTCTCCCTAAGTGGTGATGCTTACACACTGCACCAGGTGCTCATTTGAGGATGAGTATACCTAGGGGAGGCCCAGGACCGGTTCAGATAAAATAATCGTCACTGGTGTTGGCCATGAGTGGAAATTGAACTCGGGTCACCAGGTTTGTAGCACTGTGCGCTGACTGTTAACCCTACCACTCCTGATCAACAATAAACAGCAACATACACACGTTCAGAGACTTACCAAGAATCTCACTGTAGATGTTGTTCGACTCCTGCCCCATATACATCGTGATCATTTCAAAAATCCTGTACAGCAAAAAGTTCTGCACACGCTGCCAAAAGTTCATTTCATCCGTCAGAGAGAACATGGGCACGGGCACGTAGGACGGAGGTGCAGGCATCGCTCCACAGTAGCGCTCGGCCATGTAGCCCGGAGTGAAGCGTAGTGAGTAGACGTAGGGGATGCCCAGCATGAGGGCCAGTACGTCGCCGCACATGGCGAATGGGTCGGACAGGAGCACGTGGAACTGGGAGTCCCGGAGACGCGATATCAGGTTCTTGTCTCGCACCATCGCTGTGCAGATTTCCCGGTTATCTGTTGGTGAGATTTGACGGAACAACGCGTGCGTTTGTTGACGGTATGTGTTGAATATAAAGACATGCATTAATTTTTTATTTCTTCTGTAACAGTGCTCATTGGAGGTGGTGTTGTTTGTGGCCAGGTGGCTTCTGGAAAATAAGTTAATAGCTCAGTGGGCTTTACCTGGTAATATACAAAATAGTTTAGTTTTATTTGTATTTTGTGATTTGTTTGCCTTTCCTATACTTTGCGCTCTTGTCGTGTTTTAGTATTTCTATTCTTGTTATAACGTTATGATCCGCCCTGCTGGACATCTGTGAAACTAGCTTCATAGCTAATCGGATTCCTCCAGTATAAATACAGATTATGATTCTGAATTAGCAGTTTATTATTGAGTTGGGTATGGGGGGGCACATGTTAGCAATCTATACACGTTGGAGACAAGAAAGGAAGAAAGAAAAAATAGACATTAGTAACAAAATATTTTTACGTTTTTTGGTCTTGTTAGAGTTTGCACGTTCCCGCATTGCAATGTCCAGTAACTAGTGCCGCTCCTGAAGGTATTGGGATGTGGTTGTCTGTATAAAATACCTGCTTGCTCAATCTCGAGTCTGAATAACCCTACCTCAAAAAGGTAAAATATATAAGATGCAGCGTTTCGGGTAATAGTTTTCATTTTTGTATGTATGTATGTATGTTGAACTTGATTTAAAGCTTTCGTGACTGCAATAATTAATATTCTTAGTTCTTTCGGTAAAGTCACGTTGAAGGGAAACAACAAAATAATAAAATATATATAAAACAATAAAAATTCTCACGACGTTTCGACCATAACACAAACGGTCGTCTTCAGGTGTGTCGGTTTGCATAAATGTATTTATTTTGAAACGGTATATTTATTTATTTATAATAAAAAAAAACGTTAGCGCCACGCGCAGCGATTTGGCATAAATGGGTCCGTTTAAATAAACTGCCAAATCGCTGCGCATGGCGCTAACGTTTTTTTTTATAAATAAATAAATACACCGTTTAAAAATAAATACATTTATGCAAACCGACACACCTGAAGACGACCGTTTGTGTTATGGTCGGAACGTCGTGAGAATTTTTATTGTTTTATATATATTTTATTATTTTGTTGTTTCCCTTCAACGTGACTTTACCGAAAGAACTAAGATTATATGTTAAACTTCTTTTGCACCGTACTTTAACACGTAACTAGAGTGTTCTTATCGACCCTATCTCTGATCTCTCCAGTGTAGCACAACATTTTTAAAGGAGAATGGAAATAAGAGCCCTCCATTAAACATTGTGAAAGTATGCAGAATTAAACATCACATAGGCAGTGACACTGGGGTTATGCTTACACCACTGCTCATACATCCATAACACAGATTTTCTTTTTGGGTTAGATCGCGTAAATATATAAATGTGTCGTTAAACCCGCCACTACCCGACACAGCCAATAAGTAAGGTTTGTCACGTCAACAGAACATGCCAAGTCATTACTAGTACAGCACACCGGTGTGTTGGAGAGCAATCTGAGTACGACGTTTCGCCAGTAATTACAGCTAGCTTCATCAGGCGACAGCCCGAATCTGGATGATATTATGGATTATATTGGTCGCGAGACCCTACGTGTTAAACTGCTCGTACATGCCCCTCCTGACAAGTGATCGACGCTGGGCGCGGTCAGACAGGGAAAAAGCACCGTGTGTTATATCGGGAGACGTGGACCGTGGCGCGGTGTGCGTAAGTGGAAGTTGCAGTGTGCAGGTGCTGTCTGCAGTGTGCATGTGCTGTGTGAAGAGCCCGTGGGGGAAGTGCGCAAAGAAACATCCCAATAGTGTTAAATATTCAAATTAATATGTAACCACCGGGCTGGACCCTAACTCAACAGCCTAAAAGTGCAAGATGTGCGATGAAGAAGGACCATTGACCGAATACATCCCAATGATATATTTATAATTTTAAGGCCACAGTGTTATTGACGAATTTGTTGCGTTTCCTGATGTCTGTGCTTGTGCACTACCGCCAAATGCAGCAGCTACATCACCAAATAAGTATTCTAAATATTAGGCTCCCTTTTGATGTGAATTATTTTAATGGTAATTATTTTAAGGATAACTATCTTCTTCTTGGTTCTTTTGGTAAAGTCACATAGAATGGAAACAAAGTAATACAAATAAAACATAATAAAATAAAATACAATTCTCACTACGTTTCGGCCACATCACAAGTAGCCTTCTTCAGGTGAAGGAACAGAACTGTCGGGACGACAGCGCTTCAATGAACACTGCTAAGATTCACAGCGTCTTTTAAGCTAGGTGAGAGAAGTAAAGCGCCTTGACAAAGGAGTTTACATATCAGACAGGAGAATTTAGCATTGAAATAGCTGAGGGATTAACAAGTGACTGGTCACGAAAATAGCTATGTTAAAGTCAAAGTTTACATATCAACAGAGGCATTTAGTATATGGACGCTAAAGGACTGCAACTACCCAACTAGCATACAGTAAACCGATGTGAAAAAACTAAGTATAAACTACATCAATATAATAAATGTACTCAATATATTCTTCAATAAGCTGAGCTATTAACACAAAGCAACTGGGTATACACTACACTATATAATGAATACCATATAGTAAACCAATAAAAAAATAAAATATAAACTACATCAATGTTATCAATAAACTCTATATACTCTCCACTCATTATACATCACAATGCCATATGGCGAAAAAATGGGTGGCGGTTTCTTCCCCTCAACGCCAGTACCACGGACAGCGACGAGCCCCGTTCAGACGGATGAGTCCATCCATGCTCGGAACGGAGGAGGGGGGAGAGAAACAGCGACGATGCGCTGTTATACTCCATGTTATAAACCATACCATTAACCGTGGTGTGAGAGGTATTAAGAGGCAATGCCAGCGAAAGAGCTGCGGTCTGAAGGTCACCGTAAAATACAATCAATTAAGAGCCTGAAATGTTTTGGCCTCTCGACCTGTATTAAAGTGTGACTTGCAGTTCTTTTATCTGTGGTTGCTTCCTGTGTTAAATTTGTCGAGGATAGGCCACCTCTGACAATCATGGACATCTCGTTCCCAGTTTCACCATTTGTCTTTGTTGCTTCCAACCTGAGTAGCAAATGGTCAATTCTCGCTTTCCTCACTCACACGTCCAACGTGCCAACGTAATATTACAACTTACACTCACCAACATTTTTTTTATAATCGCCACCATTTCAGGCAATGGCCCTTCTTCTTTATAATACTTTAGCAAACAACTGAAACCAAACGAACCATTTATTTACGTTTTATTTTACCAAGTAAGCCCCGCTTAGCTATATAACTCCTTTTCAGAAGCCACCTGACCACAAATTGTAGCCCAATGAAGTGGCTTATCAAGTTGAAATTTACAGCAGCCAAATACTCGAAACGCATGTTGATTGTAAATGTGGAGGGAAAAACCGGAGGAACCGGAGAAGAATCCGCGCAACCACGGAGATAGAGAGAGACACGCAAGACTCCAAATACACAGGCGTCAAGGTTGGGTTCGACTCCAAATACACAGGCGTCAAGGTTGGGTTCGAACCCATGGCCTCCTGTATACACCACCACCCCATCAAATAGAGAAAGTGGATAACGGCTGGAGACTGCACCTTAAACCATGGAGCCGGATGCAAATTATGCTTAAAATGTGTTTCCTGAAGACCTTTTTTTTCTTCAAATGTGTATATACAGTAAATAATCGTCCAATAGGAGCTGTGGAGTAATATACACGTCTACATCATGGGACTTCCTTTGCCAGTACCAAAATATGATAATAGAGTCTGAACAGACAGGTTTGCGTGCTCCCGCGTGCACGTACACCCATCATCATCATCGCAATCCATCACAATACATCTTCACCACCCATCATGATTACCATTCATCACCAAAACCACCACCCATCATCAACACTCCGGTCATCAATAAATGTTCTCATGGAACATTCTTAATCTATAAGCAAATTAAACGTAATTAAAGATTCAGGCTTCGCCTAGAAACAGGTTAGTAGGCATATTCTTAGTTTTTTCGGTAAAGTCACGTTGAAGAGAAACAACAAAATAACAAAATATATATAAAACAATAAAAAATTCTCACGACGTTTCGACCATAACTCAAACGGTCATCATCAGGTGTGTCGGTTTGCATAAACCGACACACCTTATATATATTTTGTTATTTTGTTGTTTCTCTTCAACGTGACTTTACCGAAAAAACTAAGAATATGAATTACTGCAGTCACGAAAGCTTTAAATCAAAATTTAGGTTAGTAGGCCTCAAGCTTTAGGCCTTACGGTTTAAACTTTAATTTGGTTATCCAACTAAAGTGTTTAATAACTTAACAATTTCAGAGATCGTTAGATGGCAGATCTTCAGTCACCCCTAAATCTGTTAGTGCATTTAAAAATAGTTTGAGGATTAATTCTCACGCCGCAGGCCTCGTCTAATAACACGTTGGTAGGCCTCAGGCCTAAAGATTTAAACTTTTAGTTGGTTCCCCAATTAAGGTATTTAATAACTTAACAATTTTACAGAGGTCCGTCGATGGGAAATTATCAGTCACCTCTTAATCTATAAGTATTTTTTAAACTAAATTGAGGATCAATTATCTTGCCGCAAGCTTCACCTAGAACCAAATTAGTCGGCCTAAATGTTTAAACTTTCATTTGTTTACTCAACGAAGGTGTTTAATAACTTAACAATTTTTCTGAGATCCGTAAATTGCAGATGATAAGTCACCCCTTAATCTATAAGTAATTTTGTTAAATGTTGAATCTAGATTGTAATTTGAAGATTAATTATGTCATGTTATCGTGGTTCTAGCCGTTCATGAATGTTGCAGAGGTTAAGGTGCAGTCCTGCAACTGCCGGCTCATGCCAGCATTAGAGGAAGCTCTCGAAAGCCTGACGAGATCTTCCTCAATAGCATATAGCACATAATATGCTCTCGGCCTTCATGGGGTAA